TGAATGTGCCTGTTTATAGAAACCCATTATTTGTAGGGTCTCCTTCGCGTTGATTGTCTACCCCTGTGTGATCACGTGGTGTCTTCTCCTCCTAGCCGCCTTTTCAGTTCGCCGATTTGATGTAAGCCCTCTTCCTCCTCCTTCTCATCCTCCTCCCCTCCTCCTCCGAGTTTTGAATTGTATGTCTGTTTTCTTCTACGGGTAACAACATCTAGGGGCGGAGGGTACATATTTACTTCTCAACGTTTAATTTCATTTCATTAAATTGAGGGCAAAAGCTGATCTCTTTCTCTTTACTTTATGTCTAATTCCTTTGCTCTAACCAGGACAAAAGTGACGTGAAAGGAGTGAATCGTTCTGCCATTCCTTTTTTGCTATCCCCGTAGCATCGAGATCCCATCGCAATAGCTTTTTTTTCGAGCGTCTTCAATGGCAGTGAGATTGGCGACACCTTTGCACCACCAACAACCACCACACTGTACTTTTGAGCCTGGGTCTTTTTCAAGGTCGAGGAGAATGTTGAGGTTGAGACCTTTCTCTCTATGCTAACCACAAATTTATGCACAGGCAGAGGGAGGGCGATTGAGGGTGTCCTCAAATGCAATGTTTTTAGCTCTGTTTGTCGGGATAATAAATTTGCACGCATAAATTGCCTGAAGACAAGGGTCGTGCACATGATGAATGAAACGTATATTCTGTTTCTTTTTTTGTCTAGCCCTCTGGAAGACTAATGGGAGTGTGTTATGCTGGATGGCTGGAAGCACCTGTAGAGAATGTTAATGAGGTATTTTGGGGCAAATCTTCTATGCAGGTTTATCAACACTCAATTTAGTCTTGATTATCTCGATTGTTTACTACCAAAAGCGAACCACAACAGCTACCGAAAGGGAGTTGAGTTGCTTTACGTCCCCACCTGTTTGCATCTCTAATTCCCTCTGACTCCATATTTGTCTTGCAAGGATTCTACCCAACTTTAATCCACCCTTCTGCGACCCTGCCTATCTATATAGGAAAACTTTTCTGCATCTCTTTGAACTGTTTTGGACTCGTGAATCCATTTTAAGCCTTTGCACGACTGGTGTATCAAGTGACTGGAGAGTGACGAGTCCTCCATCTCCGCAGTAACGTCCACCTCGATTTTTTTTGAGCTCTGAGGTATGGACGATGAGGGCCGTGTTTATTTCCTCCATCCTTACATTTTTTTTAGCCTTTCACACTGGCGGTACGAGTTTGGTTACTAGTCCAGATTCTGGAGGTGACTCGGACAGTGTAGAAGGCCCAAAATAGATCAGCTGGCCTGGAGAGACAGACGACCAGGGGGCAGGTAGACAAGAACACGGCAAAAAAACGTTGAATAGCAAAAAAAAAAACTTTGCACCCAACAGGCGTGTGTATTTGTGCAACGAAGCCTGATTCGTGTTGTAGCCAACAAGCAAGGCACAACCTTCAAATGCGACCTTGAGATCGAATTTCCACCGGTCAACAATGTTAGGCGATTTGACACTTCCTCCTTTCTCTACATCGTTGTAGTGGGTGTTTTGACTCGAACCCCCTTTTTTTTTACTGAGGGGGAATTTTGTGTGCACAAACTACCGCCAAATGGTTAAGTTTCAGTTCCGTATTTGACATTTGAGATCCTTTTCCCCCTCCCTCGTATGCTAAGAGGTCCTCCCAATATGCGCTGACATACCTAACAGGGTCAAGGTAATTGATGATGACAAGCATGTGAGGTTTGCAGTCATTTAATGTGATATTTTCACTCAATTACACGATGTGGGTATCACCGAGTCCTTTCTGTATCACTCTTGTCAGCCACTGCCGCCCCAATCTCGACTGACTTGAGTCAGTAGAGGCGCCCATCTTCTTAACCAGAGTCTTCCTGCTTGTGATGCAACATCTGTGTCTGTTGGAGTGAATCACCATCGCAGTCATAGCTTGGTGTCTCTATTTGTTTCTGGATGAAGCGGTGCTCGGCTATACTGTACTGCGCAATGAGCTTGGCGAAACTATTCTGCTTCATCCTTAGAACCAAATTTTCCTGGAATTGTATAAGTAGTAGGCATACTTACTCGAATTCCATTTATTTCACTTTACTGCTGCCTTGTGATAGGAGTAGAAAGCACTTTGAACAATTGAAGGCAGAAAGACTTACTATTTACTGAGTTGAAAATGAAACAGTCTTGCTTGGTTAGAAATTTAGGCCTGAATTTATCGAGATCGCCTCTACCACGTTCAATCAAACTACTGTTTTGCAAGCAGTTCCCTTGTAAATCGGGTTTTGGTGAGTTTTCCGCTGTACAAAAGGAAGAGGTCGCCCTACTCCTTTATCGCCATAATAAGGTCATCGTGGAGCGCCTTCAACTATGCGCTTAGCCTAATTTGCTCCTCCCGCCTTCGAAACAGGCGCCTTGATAATCGCGGAAACTCCTCTTTTCTATGCTGTTATTTTGTCCCTCCCGTCTTTTTGATATTGCCTAATTAGAAGGTGAACTTTGACCTCTTAAGCACAAATCCCAATCTGCTAATATTGGTCGTTATGGTAAACCGACTTTACCACTTTTAACTGTCAAATTTTAGAATCTCACCTGTTTCCCAGTGACTTCCCGACAAGCTTGTGTGGTATTCACGCTCTTTCTTCTTCTCGCCTCTCTCCTCTTCATGCTGGTGAGTTTCAGCTACTTATTTACTTTTATAAGTAGCATGGTTGATCATTCGCCTACTGGCTTGAATTTCTAAGCCCACACCAATGCGTAATCAGTAGATCTTTTTATTCCGCTGAGATTTTTGGAACCGGTTGTTAAATCCCAGCGTGATAAATACGAACAAGGGAATCAAACTATGGGCTATTTGAAGATCTATCGGAGGTCAAAGGTCAAGCTGAGGCCGTCGCAGAATGTAGATGGTTTTTTTTTGTTTCCATGTTTTCCGATCGTGCTTTTCAGTACTGATTTGACTTTGTGAGAGCTTGCTAAGTCCTACGTTCCACGGAATGGTTTGGTTTGGCTTGTCGTTTGGATGCACTTCAACTCCGCTAGAGCATCAAGAGTAGTAAAGCACACTGCCTTTTTATCTCCATTGTGGGATCTGCGTGTCCTTTGGAAGGCGAGTGTTGTGAGGACAACTTTTATAAGCACATTTTTTCCACCAGAAGGTTAATTCTATCTTTTCGCCTCATAATAGTCCACATTTGTTTTTTTTTGGATAATGTGCAAAAGTTTTTTCCCCCTTTGTCGTGGCTAGCCGACACGCACGACAGTGTGATGCTGCTAGCCTTGGTAATGGTGATAATAAATGTGGTTTCTGGGCTTTTGGAGGACCGATGACTCATTTCGGCATACGTCTCCATCAAAAACGACGTTGCCTTGCTCTCCACGAATGCATGCCTTGCTGGCACATTAATGGTCTGTATATTCTTCTTCCAGCGAATTTACACTTTCAGTGTGACTCGACCCTCTCTTGGCACCGTTTTTTATTCTTTCTACGTAGTCTTGGGGAAATTCGCTACTTCTTTCGTCTTTTTTCACAAGAAACGATTGTGTGACTTCATCAAAATACTGTCTCGAGTAGACAGTGGCTTCACCGAACCAGTTCTTTTCCAGGGTTGGCCACCAGAATGACTGACCAATCAGGAGAGAGGTCGATCATCCGCCGAAGTATTGTCGATTTCACTGTGGTGGAATTTTAGATTCCCCCTCCTCTTATTCACCTCCCCATCATTAAGCAGTTCAGTGTAAAAATAAGAAAGAAAACCAGAGAAAAACTGCTTTGCAGGAATTTTCGGTATCCAAACAGACGTTCTACGGAAAAGAACATTCGTGGGTGGATGTCAGCGGTAGCTGAATTCGTAGGAATCGGATTTAAGTCAAACGCCATTGTTAGTGCTTCGCATTTGCCGGTTGGCTAGACGCGTTGAATATCTGCAAAATTTACCAGAGGGGAAGGAGTGGCAATGGTCCACAAGAAGTATGTCTTTCCGTGTAAATTGTTGCCCTCAAGGCCACGTAGCTCGTTATGGGGAAATTGGAGGGGTGTTGACTTGACGAACGTCGACTTCATTCCGATTCTTCTGAAGCTGGTCCCAAGGAAAGCATTCATTCACGCAACTGCATTCCTTCTTGAAGCACTTAGACTTGTTGGCTCCTCAGCCGGGCGGAGCGACTCGGTCATTGACACGCCGAAGGGATGGAAAGTTGATTATCTTTTTTTCTCCATATCATCACATCAAAGTTGTCTATAAATGCAATGTTATTTTGGCTTACCTTTTCACAAGTACAATATCCCTGTTCCCTATTTCGTTCCCTACTTGATTAATGATTACAGCACCGTCTCTGGTCCACGACAAATGTTGCATTCCACTACGAAGGTGAACGTGGAACCGTTAGTCATCATTCCACATTAACTTAATTGTCTTGAACAATTCTCTCAATGACTGAGACAAAAAAAATACGAAAATAAGATGGGTAGACGCAGGGTTTGATGGATAGCTGGAAGGCATTAACAACGTGTTGGAAAGAATGATGAATGAAATACTGAGAAGATCGGAAGATTGGGTAATCAACAGACCGAATGGTTGGACGAAGAAGGGCCTCGGTGGATGTATGAATCGACGGAACTGTGGATGATTGTGTCGATAGACGGGTGGGTGATCTGACTGTGGAGAGTGAGATGAAGGCTTCAAGAGGCAGGTTGGTTAGTGCTTAAGTGATTCCGGAGTTGGGTGAATGCGTTGAACCGTTTTGATTAGAGGAAATTTGATTGATGCATTAAATATTACATCCGATCTTGCCTAATTTCCGTCCCCTTCTCTCCTTCCTGCCGAAGTCTCCTTTCAGTTCCGCACTCAGCATTTTACAGAACTACAAAAAGACCGCCTCTTTCCTCTATCATTAATAACAAAAAGTAGCTTCTCTATAGTGTTGTGAGTTTTTTGTCTTGGTGTGGCCCAAATCTGAGGTCCACCTTCAGCCTGCGTACATCTTGAAGATGGATCGTGAATTTGAATGTGCTGCGCCCCTCCTCCTCCGCCTCCACGAGGTGGCATTTCAGCTGGTCCGGAGGAGTCGTTTCTTTTTCCATTTCCGCTCTCTCTGCTGAGTCACCTGGTTGGGTGGGCAGGTAGCGACATTGCTGCAGTGATGCTGTTGGAATTGCAGCTGCGAATTATCTACTTCTCTCCTCCCTCCTTTTTCCTATCATGTAGGCACCTGATTTGCCTACTGTGCGCCTTCTTCCATTCCTTGTCTATTGAAGGCAATTTTAGGCCTCCTAAGGAGGTGGCCGAGTCCATGAGCAGAGGAGGTGAGTGGCCAGTTGATGGTATTCTAAATTCCATTCTCCTGTGGGTGTGGTCGAGGGGTCCAACCACCAGGTAGGACCGTAACTTTTGAAACCAGGACGTGGAACGAACTGCATGCGAATTAATTGAGAACTCGGCTATGCCTCTACCATGACACTTAAAACTCACGGACTCCTTTATTTGAGCCATCTGGACTTCAGCTTTGAAATGAAGTTGATCTTTAGAAGCCTTTTCAACCAAGGGAGATTGAGCTGTGAAAACCTACACTGACAATCCTCGCTTTGTTTACGACACAATTCTTGAGTCTGTCCATCTCACTCATCCTCCATTGTGACTCTCCATCCTGTAGTGAAACATCACATTTTAACCAAATTAGGAATGCCTGCACCATCCTTTGACGACTGTGTGCCTGGGCTGTGTTTATTTGATGGACATTGGTGTTTACGACTGGATCCGTGTTCTACAACTGGCGGGTTTTACAATCCCCACGCTTTTTGTAGGTCCACGTACATCAAAAACAAGGGTGGAAGGGAAGGGGGAGGAGAGGGGAGAGGAAAGCTTGTGTGATTTTTGGTTCAGCTTGATACTTTGTTTTGCTTCAACGGGTCAAGAAAGCGAGGGAGATCTCAGGATAGGAGATCATGGGGAAAGGCGAAATACTTTGTACCGGCGCACTTCGATGTCATTGTTATGGATAGATGCGTCACTTTCGTTCCCACGAGAAGGTTTAGTCGTAGACAGGTCGACCTCCTCCTCCACCTCCTTCCCCTTCTCCAAGTTGCACATCAGAGTTGAGTGAGTGTCACATGGCCTGACTTGTTTAGCATCAACCTACACCGGCTGTTTGTGACCGTCCAGAGGATGCGTTTGGTGAGATGGGAGAGTCGAATCATCACAATCACGTTTAAGAGTGTGTGCGTCTCACTTGTCAAAAGGCATGACTGTTTAGCCTTTTTGACATGTCTGAGTCAGCGCGTCTGTAGGAAGGCGTCTTGTAGATTTTCTACTACTGGAATGGACACGGACTTTGTCCAACGTCTCATTCACCGAAGATGGTGTCATGGTAGCGCACAGCCATCTCTTCTCACAGTTGGTTCTCTCTTACGCCTGACTTTGTTGTGTTCGTTTGGTTCAAGGAGGAGGTAGACGTTTTCCGGCTTGGGTCCCCAAATTCGTAACACCCACAAACGCTTGCACCTTTGTGCTGGGTGGCAAATTAGCTTTTCTCGTCAAATATGCCAATTCGGAGACGGAATTGAGCTGAAGGCCTCTCAGTAGCGGTGCCTAATATGCACCAGGTAATGGCATCTTTGTAATGGAAGGGGAGACGGAGCAAAGCATCGTTGGAGCGATCCTGTCCTTGACCAAACTAAATACGCATTGTCAAAAAGATAGCGTCAACCAATTCTCGGCACTAAAGGGTAAACTATTGCAGTGATATAGGTGCATGGAGAGGATTTTGCAGTTTTTATGTGACCTAGTTAACTTTTTATCATTCATCAAATTTCTATTACAATAAATTATTTGTTTGACTTTAAAACACAAAAAGGCGTGCTGTCAGTATGTGTACCAGCGTTTTTACTGTGATGTGAACTTGTCAAATAACCAGCCTCTCTACCTTGGGCATGAAAATCAGTGATTCAGGCGAATTTGACACTTCTGTTTACAAATGTCAATGTCTCTTCTCTGTCCCAAGATCATCAGTTTTAAGGGGGTACTATGGGGTGCGGGGTGGAGCCCATACGTCCGATATTAGAGTCGCAACTGTAAATCGGACGCCAATGATTATTCCAGCACATATTTGCGGAGGTGGTAGGGTGAGTGGTAGCATTGGTGGTGCAAATGCAAATTAATTGCCATAGTTCACCGTTATAACTTATAGCAGCAGCGTGGTTTTACACATGCTACTTAATTTCTTTACGAGTAGGAGCGTCTGTCCTGTACCTAGAGGTTGTATTCTAATGCAAAAATAGAACTTCTAATGCATGTGCATGTAATTATAACCGGTAGAACAATTCGATGGAAAGATGGTCGAAACCAAACAATAGATTGAACTTTGGTACGTTGCTTAAGTTCTAATAAGTAGTACAGTCTGCCTTGTCTCTGAAGGTTGAATTTAAGTAGTAAAATATAACGTCTGCAATTGTGGTTTTTGTCGTTAAATATGGTTTATCAAGAGGAGAGCTAAAAACACGAATAATCAAGCAAAAAAGTTGGCCAAAAGTGGCTAGACCTTTTTGTTTATGCTCACCAAGTCTGCCTGATTCATCAAATCCACCCAGCAAATTTATGTCTCCGTATCGGGGGCTTTTCGCTTTATTTAAACAAACACTTCTGGACATTGAATGTAGGATTGGAGAATTCAAATGATCTAAGGTAGGCCATTCAAACTCCCCAAATCAAATTATTAGCGGTATATGTGCTACTAAAAGGCCAAGAAGGTATGTAACTTTCCTCGGGTCGAGAAAATCCCACAAGCAATCCGAGTCGATGCAGCCAGGGGTTATAAAGTGGTGCAGGGCACATGTTGTGGGCTTTCACCGTCCGACTTACCGAGGGAAAATCTCGCCATGACATTTACGTGATTCCGGTGGTGAACGCATTAGGATCGGTATGCTAATGTTTGCCCGGTCTTGTAAGTGCTTACGAAAATGTGGGAGGTGGATAAATCAAGCTCCTACATAGCTCATTTTAGCTTGCCTTTGGGTCACGTCTGCTTCCCATGTGGTGCGTAACTGACCGCGACACTGATGCGATCTCATTAACTTCCTGTTTGACGCTTTACAACTTCACGTCATTCTTTTTCAGGCTCAAATGCAATTCTTTTAATCTATGACACCTCATCAGGTAACAAATATGTGAATGAATGCCTCACTTTCCTTTTCATGCTTCAGATGTTTGTCTCCTTCGAAGTACACCAACCTCTTAGTGAATTTGCAACACCGTGGCACCGCACACCACAATTGAGCACCACCACCATACTGGCCTGTCTCAGTCTCCTCCTTCTACTTTCTCTGACTCCATCCGTGCCTCCAACACCGCTTAACAGTGCCATTGTTGCAGCAATTTTCTCTGGCCTTCATATCACCTTTGCCACCACTCGTTTCATTCATCTTCCCGCCTCAGTTTCCAACAGCAGGTGAGATTGTAATTGCATTGCAGTACTGGTTAGTTTTAAAGTCTTTCTTTCCCGGCTTTCCATTGGTTAGTAAATTTGTGAGTAGAATTTGTTAACAATGCGTTTTTTTCTTTTTACAACGTTTCTTGTGATGTTTAGCTATTCGATTGGATTATATTTTATGTTTTCGTTATTTCCATAGTCTCATTTCTCTCTCCTATCATCCTTTTGTCCAGCTCGGCGTTCTTCTGGACGAACTTGCTTCCCAACTCCTTGGCAGCTCACCTTGTATTCGTTTTTCTTGTTTGCTTGTTGCCATGGCAAACCGCGAAACTACGTCATTGGACTGAACAGTGGGTTAAGATTGTAAGTCAGTCATTCTCCTCCTTTTTAATTGTCTAAACTCGCTTTCTTGATTCGGGTATTACAGATCAGTGGGTATTCGAAGGGCCTTCTTTGACGTAATCTTTCCTCCCATAGAATCGGTCAATGTTCATATTCCTTTCTCCGTTTTCAGCTTCTTGAGCAAAAGATTGATCTAACCGGACGTCGTTTAGCCCTTGAACACTTATTGGACAATCAAATCCCCCGCGCTCATTTACCAACAGAACCCTCAAACACTCTTGCAGAGTCCTGTACATATCCCTCAAGCCTTTCTGACCTCTTCCCACCGCGGGAGCATCTTGCCACTGGTGTAATCGCTATCACTATACATGGCATAGGTATGAGTGGATGGCTTCCATGCCATTTGCGAAGAGTTCATTCCTCAGGTCTTTTATCCTTCCATTTCAGGCAAGGGTGACGATATGCTCCAGTATCAACGATCACCAATTCGGAGTGTTGCGCTGAGCCAATCTATAACTACCACTGCCACTGCTTCTTCCTCTACCGCTAGTCGTCGATCGCGCGAGGCAACGGTGATCGCTGATGCCGTCCGTCGACTCAACCGTCGCATTTGCCTGATTGATCAAATGGCTTGTGGTGGTGATACTGAAACAACTGGAAGCGCAGTGCATAAAATAATTAAATCACTGTCAAAACCTTCTCTACCTCTTGTTAAAGTTCACTCGGTTGGAAATTGCGTGGCCTACGCACTCTTGGATGCAGTATGTTTTATCCCCTACTTATATCGGTTGTAAGTAGCATTTTAATGGCTCAAACCTGTTATAAGGATAAAAATCTCCCCTCTACTCAAAAATATTCCTTTTTATTTGCCGACTTGGTCATTGGGGTTGGAGACACCCAGTTCAAAACCCTTATCGCGGCTTGATTAGATAACGACTTAGTGAGACCTGTAATTTGGCCTTTCTTTTTGTCCCTGAAGGATTCAAGGGATTCAGCATCGCAGCTAGGTCTCTTCGGTGTCTTTCTCATCCAACTATTTGAAGAGTTGGAGCGTCATTGTCTTCAAAAATCTAGTGAAGAATTCCGCAGTGGGGATGAGGCTCTCGCCTGTCGCCTACAAATCGGTTCGTTTTTGTTTAGTTTTGATAAAGATGATGGATTTGATCCATAAGATTGGCACTTCAGTTGTAGCAATTTTGGTTCCTACAACTTAGCGTCCTACTTCTTACTTGTCTCACTAGGGTAGCCATAACTTTTATGCTCTTTCAGGTCTTCACATCGGTGCCACTTTGAGCGGTGTAGTCGATGGTCCTCAATTTCTTCTTCTTCACGAAACCCTCGACTTTGCCCTCCGCCTTGCCAACGCCACTCCCCCTACCCCAATGGATCGATCATTACTCCTTGCATCCACCGATTTCGTCTCCCGTCGGGGTACCGAATCCCTAGTCGGAGTACAACCAATTGGCGTTAACAGTGGTGGAGGCAGTAATAGTGCTTCCGAGGTGTTTCTCTGGACCGTAGAAATTCAACACATCCCACGTTTGATCGCTACTATGAGGCCAGTCCTCAGCACCGTTATTCAGCCACCCGTTATTCGAAATAGAGTAAGTTTTGTGCTTATAATTCTTCCAAAAACATCACTATTGAGGTAGGCCTTACTTTTCGTTTTCCTCCTGTATTTTAGTCAAAAAAGCCACTCGCGACTCCGCCAAACTTGGAACATCCTCGGTCTGCTTCCTCATTGGTTAATTCAAATTCTTCCCCTCCACCGCCACCTCCACCACCGCATAAGCGACACTACGCAGTGGGTGAGGCGCGATATCAAAACCATAGTTCTCCACTCTTGGTGCGCGAATTTAAACCTTCTACTAATGGTTTGGTTTTACATAGACATTGAAGCTTTACTCCTTCCAATTCCTAGCCGCGACGGGATCGAAAACTGTCCTCACCGCTTCTACCACCTCGTCACTCCTCTCCGTCCTCTCGGTGGGCTCAAAAATCTGTTTCCTTGGATGGCCCTGTTGACGGAGACAATGTTGATAGGGGTAGTGAATTTATGGCGTATTGAACGCCCTTCTGAAATGTTTACTCACTTCATCTGGATTTATTTTTTTGTTTGCAGCTTGTTTCGCTATGGCCGAGGTGGAGATTGTCAACGGTTATGCTCAACCCACGACTAGGTTGGTGGGAAATGGGGTGACAGCATCTCCTTACTGCGTCACCAAGGACACCGGTGGCTATGCTAACCATCAAGGTCATCAAGTAAGATGGAGATAGAAAATGAGTTGGAGACACTTTTAGTGCCTTACTTTCCAGTCCTTTCTGTTTCAGCCGATATTTGAGCCTCCAAAAGCTGCTATTGACGTTGCTGCAACCTCGATCACCTCTTCCGACAATGTCTTCCTCGCTGTTGAAGGGGCCTGTGAGCGTGTTGAAGCACTGCAAAGTGAAGGAGTCACCAGTTTGTCCTCTGCTTCGCCTACAACCACCGCTAATACGCATCATCATCATAGTAACCCTCTCTACACTGACAACGAATACTATGATGATGAAGAGGAGGAGGTGGCTAATGGTAATATCATTGATGGCATCAAACGGTCGGGCGACGAGATGTCAGATGGTTGTCTGGACGCTGGTGTTGAATGGCTTCAACGAGCTCCAATGCTAGGCGACTTTAGTGTATCAGTTATCTCGTGAGTTGGGTTTTTTCTCCATGCTTTGACGCCTCTTGGTTGACACCTTTGATTCACTTCAATGACAATGCTTGTACACAAAGTGTTGAGTCGGAGGCTGAGGGTGGTTTTTCCGATGTCCGAGGGCAGTGATATGCTTGGCGCTTTTGAGCTGCGTTGTTTGGGGTTCCCAGTTTGCTCCTTCTCGTAGCCATTCCTGAACGCCAGATTGGCGTATGACAAAATTCTGCGAGAAGCGAATCTTTGTAAGGTGGAACTGGGAAATTTAACCTTTCACATTCGCTCATCACCGACAGAGAATTAAATCAAGTCGTTATAAGATGAATCAGTGGTTGTGGCAACTTTTCCCCTCAAGGCATTAGAACTAAGGTAAGGAGGAGAGAAGGTATGGTTTTATCTCTTACATTTCATCTAGTTACTTTATAGCCTCAAAGAAGGCATTTCAGTATGTTATGATTGATTTACTGCCGGGTTTGCTTATTCCTTTTCCATACAGTAGTGGATCCAACTTTCCAAACTATCGGCGCCCCTCCACACCACCTTCCAATCCACGTCAAACGCTCTACAATCCACCGATCGTTGCCGGTGGTGCTGCTCTTGCCAGTAACAATGGGGAAGTTCAGAGGAGGACTTCTTCAAAGGTCAGTTTGTTGGCAAGTTGGTGGGTCGGCTAGCTGATAGTTGTTTCTTTTGCTTCTCAAAGTAGCTAATCGAATTTCTTCTATTTAATCAATCAAATTCGCTTCTTTCTCATTGGATAACTCCTCCTGGAAAGAGCTTTAACCCCAGAACATACTTGTTTACATTCAACAGCTCAATTTTGAGTTTATTTGGAAGTCAGCTTTTGATAGACTTTGATGAATGCCTTATATGCGTCTGAATTGGAGTAGTTGAGACATTAGATCACTGAAATTTCTCTTCCTTGCCCAACTTTTAGCTGAATGACAAGGACACCACGTCAATCGATTTGTTGAGCACTTGCGCTGTTCCTTCTGCTGCCTGCGACTATGAATGTGAGCTCGGTTTTTTGCTAATTCAATACGTCCTCTCCTCGGATTGGTCTGCCATTTCCGGCCTTCCGATTGGCCGGTTGATTGGTCCTTAAATTACAGCATGACTGGTCTACAATAGAGTGCTTATTCAAAGCTTTTTACAAAAATAACTCATAGTACGGTAGACGTTTTGAGTGAATCAAGAATTGTGTGTGGGTCTTGGAACTTGTATTTTATACTTTTCATTTGTTTCCAAAAGGTGTACTGAGAATCGGTAGCTGGATGCAATTTGGTTATAAGTTGACATTCAAAAGAAAACGTGCTGGGGACAGCATCCTTAGCACCTCCAATCCAAAACACTAGGCTTATGCCGTCCTAATATCTTCTTCGTCTCTGCCGCCTCTCTTTCGAACAATCTTGGGAATGACCTGGGAAATATTTCTGAGGGACAATTGGTCTCCGTTCATCCAGTGGATTCTTTTAAACCAGCCAATCAGTTCAACCTACTGATGACATTTTTAGGACATGGTGATTAGGGATCCCAGAAGTCGGTATTCACTCTAGCATTCCATTTGCCTACAAGCGCGACCTCAAGGGGTCAAAAGTGACAGCTGTCAGACTCATCTAAGGTTCTAAAAGGTGGTTAAACTGTCATGAAGGCTGGACCTGTATTAGAAGAAAAGTGATGGCTTAAGGCAAAATATTTTTTAGCTTGACTCCATTATCAATGTAAACTCTGATTGAATCGTCCAGTAATCCTTTACTTCTGGGTTTTTTTCATGCCTCATTGTCACCAAAGGAGGAACTGTTGACCATGAATTTGAGGGGTCCTTCTCAATGAATTAATTTACGGAGAGTGAGTGGAATTGGGTGGGCGGACTTCAGCGCTTGAGGATTCGAGTGACGTCCATAGGTCAAGTAGGCAGTTCATCCCTAAGGCTGGTGAAAGTGTTATGAAAACGTTGTAATGAAATTTCTTCAGACAGTTTAATTTTTGTACTGGTCAAGCTATCGAAAAGTCAAACTCTGGTAAATAACTTCAGGGAATTACCAAAGTCCTTTCTTTATCACAGTTGAAGGTGGAATAACCGACCTTAGCGTGAACGATGACGAAGAAGAAGACTTGGAGGCCGAGATGGCAAACAATTCGACGCGTGCAGAGTCTGGTGATGTTCCTTTGTTAATGGACACTTCGTGGATGACTTCCACCGAGGGCGGAGGCGGTGTCGATGGGGTGTCATCAAAGGCACCGAAAATGAGTGACTCATTACTGGTGGAGACTGGAGGTCCATTGGAGGATGATTTCTCGGAATTCTCGTCCTCTGCTGCCGTCGGCACTGCTGGCATAGGGGGGGATGAAGAGGGCTCCTCTTCTGCCCACCTTGTAAGATCTTTTGAGGTGGTTAAATGTGGATGTCAGTGAACTCAAAGGTAGCTGAGTTGACTGATGGACGAGAGTCTAGTCAGGTGAATGGATGACACAAGTAACTTTGTGTAGGTGGATGGAAGGACCGCTAGCCCCATAGTCGTGCTGACAGTTAAATTAATGGAGTATTTGATGCCATCCAACCGGTAGATAAGTAAGGAGTAGATCTTTGAGTGGGTCTTACGACGGGATGAAGTGTACTGGTTGTAAGGGTAGATGAGCTAAACAGTTGAGTGGATGATCTTGCGCATTTAAAGATAAATGAATGGCTCGGTTGATGAATATCCATCTGAATGGGTGAAGGAATTGAAGGAAGGTATTATCACAGAACCTCACTTCCACTCATCCACCTAGCTCGCCGCTTATACAAGTGATCCGGATGTTGATGGTGACAACCACGAAGAAGGCGACGATTCCGTCTTCCTGCCCCCTGCCTACTTCCCTCTCATCGATCAATCAGGCAATCATCATAGGCGGGGACGTCGTCTGCCTGACATAGCTCCTGTCCGTCTGCCCAACTTTGCCGCAGTTGCTAATCAGCATCCACCAACATCGTTGTCAGTAAACAATCAAATCGTCAAACCACTATCTCCACCCCTCTTGGTCGATCTTACCTGTCCTCCTTCTCCTCCTCTTAACAATCCGTCATCAAGAGGTGCCACCAGTGGGCAGGATATGTGAGTTTGATGCCTCCTTTCTGGATACTGGAACATTTTTTTCACTTCCTTCAACTCCGGGTCTGACTAGCTAACATGCCTGCAAGCAAGGAAGGATCGACATCATCTATCTGAATAAAGTATTTTGCTTGAAAGTTGTGCTTTCCATAGCTTGCTTCTGAAATCTCATAGTCCTTCCTCAGGGCTGAATACGACAACTTGGAAAACGCCTACTCGGCGGCCGTACCTACTACCTGCATACCACTGCGACCGATACTGCAACACGGAGGTTGGCGGCCGAGAGACGTGCGTGGCCACCGACGTGGAAGTCTACTTCCTCGAAGAACTGATAATCCCTATCAACTCCACCTTCGTCTCAATGCACACATTGTGGATGAAGCGCGTCGAATATGTCAGCGCCTTCATGCCATGGGATGGCAGTCAGCGCTGTCGTTGCAGACACAGTCATCGCCTTCTGCTTCCAGTTCGGAAGGTTGGTCTGCTGTCAATTGAGGTCCCATTTTTGTCCCCTTCAAAACTCTTGGAGCCTCTTACATATTGCCTCGAGGCTGGACTTTATTTTTTGATACTTCTTGAAGGTTCGAAGAATTGCAGAAGAGTTTACTTCACTTAGTCTTGCTTTCTAGGCCTCTCGAATACCAACCGTCCTAACGAGGCATTGCATGGAAAAGCTATTCTACTTCTTCCACCACCACCACCACCGCCACCGCCATCGATACCACCACCCTCGATGCATCCATTTATACGAACTCCCAAAAGGGGAGATTATGTGAATTCGCACAGTCTTCTTAGACGTCTTCAAGGTTTTGACAGTGGAACTGTTACCACAGTCACTTCGCAAATAGATGATGATCAATTGACTGATGACGGAACTTTTGATAGCGAATTCCTCGATGATGGAGAAGGAAATACGGCGAATGGGGAACCTCAGAGTGGCTCGTTTTTGATCCCTGCAGATCTTTGGCTTGGTAAGTCATCACTCCAAGTCTGGTTATGGGTGGAGGGGGAGAGGGAGAAACTGGACGGCTAGACGTGGACTTGGTGATCGTAGATGAATAAAATTTCAAATTAGTAGGTACTTTTGAAGAATGTGGTCAGATTAAATAACCCTTGGTCTTTTACTCAACCTTCACAGATGTCGGTCGACCGCGTTCCCTAAGCAACGACTGTCTCCTAGCCCATCACGACAGTGAAAATGACGAGGACATGGATGGTTTTTCCCACCGTTCTCATCCACGTCGTGGAGGAGGTATCCTTGCTCGTGACCTCATTCTTCGTAGAGCAGCAAATGTCCGCCAGCTCCTTCCCCTCGAATTGCAGCCATTCATGATGCCAGGGTGCTTCAGCAGTGTCTCTGCCGCTACCACCACCACCTACGCCAAAAGCGGTGCTAATGCTGCCGCCCCGTTCCAGCATCCTGGTGACCGAAGTGGACATAGGCGTCAACGTGGACGACGTCGTCACCTCCTTGTGGCAGTACGTGGAGGTGTAAAGAGGTCCTCTAGTGATCCTCTTCTTCCAAGTGGTGCAGCTGCCAATTTGGATGTCAGCCTTATTTGATCGACTAGATAGTGTGGGTCTTCCTATGCCCGTCTTTTCGCTGTCGAATACGTACTTTTTACCATGGGTAAGAAGTGTTACTGCCGATCCTTATCCCAAAACCCGCTGGAGAGGAAAGCATTAATGGGTAGATGAAGCTCTATTGAACCTCCGCAAGTTAGGATATTTGATTGTAGCTGTTTCTTAATAAGGGGTGAATCTGACAAACCCGGAGTCGCGTCGCTCCTGTTCCGAGAACAGGGGGCGCATTACAGCGATTCTCATTTAGGAGTGTGTGTGCTATGCGAGAATGCCAGCGAAACGTGGAGGAGGACCTGTTGTAGGGTTATGGTGGCTGGAGAAGGACCATATTGGTGTGCAAACGTTTGTTTGCATCTGTGATGGGAATATGGAAGAAGAGGTCAAGTAGTACTGAGAGGAATGTCAGTTTCGACTTTATTCGAATTCTTGCTATTGAAAGCAATGTACTTGTCATAATTGCCTTAGTAGGCTGTGTGGGTCGTCTGAATGGACCTAGACAGTGGGATGAAGAGAATCAAATCACGAAATTAAAAAGGATGAAATGGATATATGGGGCTCGACTGTGCGCATGAAGAGGCAGAGTATGCATTGCTCTTGAAGGAGGAATGGAGTGTCCCGAAGTTGATGATAACACTAGCAGTAGCAACTCAACTCACTGCTTTTGACAGCTAGTAGTGACACCAACTTCTGTTGTGTTGTGAAAATGTTAAACAAGACTGAAGGTGGATGGAATGATAGCTAGTCGTCTTCATGAAGTCAAATCTGAAGGTGTCTTGCAGAACAATCAGGAAAATTCAACCCGTATGTGAATCCACTAGTTGGTCTTGTGTTGAGAGGGAGAAAGCTACTTTGTTCCTCCGGTTTACCCCATGCACATAGTTTTGGTAGTGAAGACAAGTGCCAAAGTAGCTCGAATGCGGAAGCAAAAGAGGAGGTCTTCAAGTCTTGTGGTGGTAGGCTTGAGGGATTGAAGATCTTGTCTGTACCATGTTGAAATTCATCATTGGCTTTCAGGTGAAAGGATTTAAGAGGTTGGCAGTTGTTATCGCTGAAGTTTGCATCTCTAACACTCGTCAGTGTCAGCATTCAATGTTTCTCCATTCCTTCAAGTCACCATTTCGTCCATTCTGTTGACTATCCGTGAAGTAATTTCACGTGGAGACAAATGGAGCACTCTCCTTTCCCTCCTTAAGGCTGGAGGGCGGACATTGTACGACAATTCAGTTGGGTTATTAATCTTTCGAATAGGTGGCTGCAGTCAGAGAAGTATGAGCGGGAATTTCAGCTGATTCGGTCTATCCACTTTCAAGAAGTCGGATTCATTGGGTCTTTTTCAAAATGCTTTCTTTTACCTAGTGGGGAGTCTCGGGGAGCCACATTCATGGTGGGGAAAAGCGAACTCGGGACTTCTATCCCAGTTTGTAACATGCATCTACGAAGCAAAGGATGCGCATACAATAAGAGTAGGAGATTCTTTGAATTCTCTACAACAGAAGGACTGAGAATGTTGTCTTTATGTGGTTCCAACTTGTTCTCTTTTTCCCCAGACAAGCTAGTAACAAATGAAGGTACACCGGTGTTAATTGCATAAGAAAGTTTCGCGCCAAGTACTATATCCATGTGACACTACGCCAAATCTCTTTCCACACTATATTATATTGAGTCTCAGATTCCTAGCTAAGCATCTGTTTTAGATCAGAATACAAACATTTAATTGCGGACATGATTCATGGTCAACAGAACCTTCATCGTACAGTTCCTACTCTGTAAATCAAGCGTTACTCCAGGTCCATTTAATTTGCTGATTAGGCCAATTACAATCACTCAGTATCATTTTTTCTGATACCTGACGCGGGTGGTCTGTAGCACCGGGTATGTTGTAATGGTTGGTTCGCCTGGGGGTTCGCTCAAAATGAGGGATGGGCAGTGCAATACATTGATTATGTGATCACGTTATGCCTAGCGGCTGCTTTGGCGATTGCTTTGTTCTTGTGTGCATGAGATAGTCTATAGTCCAAGGCAAGGCCCAGTCTCTTATTAGCCCCCCACTACACAGGCGTTTAGCCCGACTTAAAGACCTCTTCGACTTGAAGAAAAATCTCAGAGCCCTACAGTGTAATGCTTTGTTTATGTGACTATCTAACGTTTGGCGGTCACTTGAGAACTTGTCTGGACCCTGTACACGTGGGCTGGCCTTCGGGCCGCGCTCAGGCCCCATTTCTCCTATTGCTTTCGGAATACATGTATTCAACCCCAATTATGCCTTCTACTACCCCATTGAAAGCCTCGGGTCGCTACATACAGAAACGTTAAGAATCGTTAAAAATTTTTCTGCGTCTCAAATTTACTATTGGTACTTTGATCTTCCTGATCAAATAAGTAATTCAATAAAGTTCTGAATGTTCACTCATGAAGCATTTAGCTAATGCAACAAGTTTCATGCAGTATTTTATTCTCTTAAACATGTAAATTCAAAATATCTTGTTTATTGTCGTATATACGCTAAGTTAATGGTCAGTAAGTTGTTTGTTTTAAGGAGCTTCTCATGAGGAGCGTTCATCGAACATGGTATTCCAGGTGAGATTTTGTGGTGGGGTGTCAGGATTGGATGTGATTAAAATGCATGCTTCCGATTTCCGTCTTCTTCTCGAACTATTCTACCGGAGAGAAACTGGTGGTAATTGTAGGAGTAAACAAACCCTTTAACGCTTGCAAAGGCGGCGGCAGAACCACTCCTTTCAAGGACTGCATGGCTTTCACTGAGTAGCTCACTGTGGTCAGCGTGACTCACCGGTTTAAACTCAAATACCGGAGAACGACTCTGATCCTGTCTTCTCTCAAACCATACTGTTGTCCACATCCTCAGTCCACCATCCATCAAGAAAACCAAACGCTTCTTCATTTCCCAGCAAGTGAAAGAAGATGATAGGGAGTACGCACATGGTTTCTAAACGGTGCCGCTGAAAGGCCTACGGTGCGGGTCCTGAATCTACTTTGTATCGTAGCCCTCCAAGCTATACACGGAACTCAGGTGTTTCTTCTCTTCCACTACTATGTTTGTTTCTAAACTTCTTCCAACCAACGTCCTACCACTAAGCTTGCTCAGTGGAATTCCTTTTCGATTTGGTACAGCTTGACCACTAATGCGTATGTGTGCTTTCTCCAATGTCCTCTTTGGTTCGCAGCCATAGGCTTGAACAAGCCATATTTGTAACCTCTTCGTCATTCCCTTCCACTTCCCTCTATCGTCTTTCTGTATGGAGTTTACTCATGCCAGCGACGATTAGAAGGGGAATCATGTTATTGCGAAAGCTGGTAAATCATGTGATTTTATTCTTTTACGTCTATTGTTTTTATGCTTCTTCCATGATTGATAGGATTTTTAGTCTGGAGAAGACTCATTGCTCAGCAGAATTTGTACTACGTATTTTTGGAACGGGTCGGTGGTTGATGACCAAGGCTGAACATGATTACCTGCATGATCTCTGCCCATAATGCATCATGAAATAAGGATATTTCTTTTCTTTTTTTGTAGCACCGAATGGTAATTGAAGTTCCATGGCAAGAACATGCAGGATAACTACTTATGCTGATGAGAATATTAGTTCGGCATAGTAGACGCTGAAGTGGCGGTGAAAGTTTGGGGAACCTAGAGCTCGAGCGAATTGCATATCTTCTCTTATAAGGAAAGGAAACCGGAGATCAACTGAGGTGTGGCTTTGTAGCTGTGATGCATTCATGTCTCGTTGGTGTTTTTTGAGCCGCAAGTCTTCCATGGTACTGAAACCCACTATATCTACTGAGTTGGCGCTGACGGCATTTTGTCTACCGTTTCGTGGATTTCGGTTTCTATTGTGCTTACCGTGAGGAATATCGTAGCCTTTAGGTTTGCTTGTTAATACCTCGATCTTAGGTCCATTATCAAGTGTAGTCTCAGCCTTCGTATGAGGAAGATAATCATCCGTAACTTGCTGTGAGCGGCACACGACTGGCTATTTTACCACTTTTTGCGGGCTGGAGTACGCGGCTGTGTGGATGTTAAATCGATTTGGTCTCCTCTGAGCTTGTTCCGCTCTCTCCTACTCCTTCCGAGAAGTATGCCTTTTTATGATTAACCGATGAATTTTAAATGTCTCAAGCTCTGTATATGCGAGTCATTAAATTTATATTTAAGTTTAGATTGTCCTGCCATTGTATATTCGTGGGCTGGTCTTCGCGTTAAGCCAAAATCAAATTTATTCGTATCTGACTGGAACACGTTTAGTAACCCCCACTTAGTGCCTGTGACCCAGAGGGAAATCTCGAGACGCTGAGATACTTCTCTTGAATTGTGTAAACATTCATCTGACCGTATTCATTTCCCTTTGCGTCCTGTATCCAATCAAGAAATATAGCATAAGTCATCATCGGATAGTCACTCTCGATGATTGCTATGGTGAAGAATCTAAAGAGTTGGGCTAAGGACAAATTCAATCACTCAACTCATCTTGAAGAGAAATAAAGGATGCGTAATTTAATGGTTTGTGCATCTTCCATGGTAAGCTAGTGTCTGGCGCAGATGGTAGTTGATTACTTTATGTGACTACATTATGTCTGTAGGTCAGTTTGATATTCTTTTTGCCTTTGTACGAATAAGATTGCCTTTAGGCGTTGTCAGGGCTCTACGCCTCCCTCCTTTTTTTTTGAATGTATGCTTTCTGCGTAATATGTGTAATACCTCGTTTATGTGAGCACATGACGTTTGGCGATCACCTTAGTTTGTCTGGCCGCTGTACACAGGGGCTGGCCTTCGGGCCACGCTCAGGCCCCATTAGCCCTGTCGTCTTCGGAATACATGTATTCAACCTCGCTTATGCCTTCTTCCATCCTATGGGAAGCCTCGGGACGCTGCAGTGGTGGCAGTTGGAAGCGAATCCGACGTTTTCTTAAACGACTTTTAGGTGCAAGGTGCTTTTGAGAGCGACATGGTTTGCGGGCAAATTAATTGCCCAACAGACACCGCTTTCTTACTGACATCTTACGTTTGCGTTGCTAAAATTTGCCAATTAGTCGACCGATTTTCGGAAAAGAACAGTACGAACACGCCGACGAGCAACGGTTCGATCGGATAATGCACTGATTCAATGCATGCAAATACCTCAAAATCGAGTTCTCTCGGCCGGAAGGTCAGAAACTCTTTTCATGACTGCAAAGGAATTCTACTTTTTAGTGGAGAAATCCAAGATTAATAAGCGC